GTAAAAATATAAGTATTGTAGCATTTTAGTATAAAACTATTAGTTTAACCCTAATATTCCCTAGTACATCTTACATAGGGTAGTATCAAAAAAACCATTAAAAGATTATTAAGTTTATGATTCTGATGGCAGCATTATGAGAAAGAGAGAATTAGTCAAATAATTAAGTCCAATAGTCAATGCAGCGAAAAGTAAATTATAAGAAAGAGTTGATAAATAAAAATCAGAAGCTGTTGCTGAAAAAAATATTATAAACTAATAAGCATTGTTTAAATTAAAAGTTTCAAAAAAAGTCTAAACATAGTATGATGAACCCTATAATTTTGAAGGTTTTGAATTGAAACAAGGAGTTAATTAACATTTACTTAAGAAAAAAAGAGAAAAGAGGAAGAAAAAGTTAATAATGAAGAAGAAGATTTAATTGATGCCTACACCGATTAACTCTAATAATTTATTAGAAAACCAAGTTATACCACACTTCCTTTATTTAAATTACCAAAAAAAAACAGAATTTAAGTCAAAATCCCAAAATGTGTAAACCAGATTCTAAAAACCCCAGCATCCCAAAATGTGTAAACCAGATTCTAAAAACCCCAGCTGTCCAGGTAGAGTGACAGTATGGTGGACAGTTCTAGACCAAACCCAAACCCACATTTTTTTTTCTCATGTGTAGAGAATTCAACATAATGTGACTGCTGAATTAAACCTACTAGTGGGCAAACCCAAACCCAATTTAAAGATATTGAAATTATAATATTACTATAAAAATCTATTTTCTATTATTTAAATGATTAGTTATAATCAAGAAGAATTATTAAACAGTCAATATAATTTATATAAAAATATTCTCGTACAATTTGATTCACACTTTCTTTTCATTTCCAGTTGATTATAGCCAGCTTATTAATTCGAAAATGAAAGCTTACCAAAAAATTAGAAGATAGATTATGCAATCAATTAGAATATCAGTGATTTTCAATTATATCCCTAATTTTAATAACCTTAATAACTATTCAACTACAAAATAATTGTTGATTAATAAAAGCATAATAAGACTAAGAAGAGTAAAAATATAAGTATTGTAGCATTTTAGTATAAAACTATTAGTTTAACCCTAATATTCCCTAGTACATCTTACATAGGGTAGTATCAAAAAAACCATTAAAAGATTATTAAGTTTATGATTCTGATGGCAGCATTATGAGAAAGAGAGAATTAGTCAAATAATTAAGTCCAATAGTCAATGCAGCGAAAAGTAAATTATAAGAAAGAGTTGATAAATAAAA